AGAGAAATTAGGAGGGGGGGAGAGAAAGAGAAATTAGGAGGGGGGAGAGAAAGAGAAATTAGGAGGGGGGGTAGAGAAATTAGGAGGGGGGTAGAAATTGGTAGGAGGAGAGATTGACATTCATCACATACACGCAATGCACCCCTTGCACACAGAAAAACACACAATGCATTCATTACACACACTCAATGCACCCCTTACACACATTCAATGCATCCCATACATACACAGAAACAAACCTTGCAGCCCTTACACATACACACACAATTTCACACAATGCATTCCTTACACACATATCAGGACATCCCTTACACACTCCACCCCCTGTGAACAAACTCATTGGTGGAACATGAAGGTGGACCCTGGGACCCAGACCTTGAGCTGTGTAAAGAACCCCCAAAAAATGGAGCTTCTTCCCGTTCTCCCAGAACATTGATTTTTGTGACCACAGTTACAAACCGCCTCCAGAGAGCCTGTTCTGCACCAGACCAGTGGAGCCAGACTGCAGCTAGAGCCCATCATCATCCTCATCTGGTTGTAAGTAGGCAATCTAGCATATTATTCGTGGCACTAAGCTCTAATTTACCTCACATTAAAGAAACACTATAGTCCCCAGAACCACTTCAGCTTAATGTAGTGGTTCTGGTGTCTATAGCCTGTCCCTGCAGGCCTTTTAATGTAAACACGGCGGCACTGCAGCACTGGCGTTAGTTAACATGGCAAATCATATGGGTGGGGCATTGTGATGTCACATGGGGGGGCGGCAAACTTTACTTTTGCCTAGGGCGGCAAAAATCCTTGCACCGGCCCTGGCTGGAGGGGGCTGTGTGAGCTGTGGCCGCACAGTGTCCCATGGTAGTTAGTACAGCTCACACAAGCAAACAGCTGATAAACTGGCCGCACGGAGGAAATGTGTATGTGTGACTGTCTGCCTGTGACTGTGTGTGACTGTCTGCCTGTAACTGAGTGTGTGACTGTCTGTCTGTAACTGAGTGTGTGACTGACTGCCTGTAAATGTGTGTGTGGGGGTGCAGGGATTTTGTAGAAGGGGGCGGGGGTTTTGTATTGGGACAGGAGTCTTTATAAGGGGGGATAAGCAGGGGATTTGTGGAAGGGGGTTGTGGGGGTTTTGTAGACGGGGCAGTACAGGATTTGTAGAAGGGGCAGGACAGAGGTTTTGTAGGAGGGGCGGAGCAGGACAAGGGTTTTGTAGGAGGGGCTGACAACGGTTTTGCAAAGTTTACAAATTGTAAAAATAAAGAGAGAGAAAACCTTTAACATTTTTTACAGTTTTTTTTTTTTGGGGGGGGGGTGCCAAGCACAGGATCCGCCCCGGGTGCCAAATGCTCTAGGTACGCCCCTGTGCCATACACCATACATTGAAGATGCAACCTGGCACCTTGTTCAAAAATGGGGCATCCCCGTCCCAGACCTGAATGCATTAAAGGCAAATAAGATCCCACTTATGATGCCAGACTTTACTCTAACAGCCTAGTGGAGGGCTCTTAGGATTCCCTTTGGACTGAATTCCCTGTATTGGTATTGTACATTATTGGAAAGTAGCAACTATTACTGTCCTTATTCCATTTTTAAAAAAATTATATTTCACTTTATGTGCCGACCTAATTATTTTGCGTTTTATTACTTGCTTATATATATTTATATATTTGTTTCTACCATATACTAGCTACATTTACTGGTATATTCTAGACATATGCAATCTTTGAGGTGTATCTGAAAACATACCATGGATACCACACTAGGACCTCAATTTAATAAGTTTCCCAAATGATTCAATACTGTTGGAAAAAAATTCCAAATGTTTTAATACCAGAAGTCACCATTAAAGTTTATGGGTTTTTTTTGTAGATAAATCATTTGGAAATGTTTCTAACATTAGTGAATCATTTAGAAATCATTTATCCTTCCTGTCTTTTTCCACAGTTTTCACACACTGTAAGAAAGACGTAACGAGGTACAGAGATGTATTATGGATCTTCAACATAAAAATGTGTCAAACATCTATGAGAAGAGACGTTGGAGACTTGGTATATACTACACAGGAGATGAGGTGTTCCATCCTGTAGAACATAGTCAATGATGGGGGTCTAAAAGAGAAGTATATAGATATTGATATATGATTTTACTTTTTTCATTCCTATTGTGGCTTTATACCCCACCTTCTATAGATTGTAAGCTTGATCGAGCCTATCAAAATTTGTAAAGAGGGGACATGGCCAAAGAGCAACAGAGCGGTTGTCTGTACAAAGATCCACAACAGACAAGAATAAACTATTTTTGCAGAGAAAATAAATAGCACCATGGCCTAGAAACTACTAATTTCCAAGATATCTGGCTGTCCTACGAAATGCCAGAGCCTCAGACGCACCCAAAGATGGCTCCAGAGGCACAAAGTGAATTAGAGGCATCTGAAGAATCTCTGGTGGAGGGAGAACCTTTTACCTCAATTCAATCCGGAGGTGTATCTCACTCATCCAAGTCGGATGAAGATTTGTCCCCATCCACAAAAAACGATAAAAAAAAACCAAAACAAAAAAACAAAAAACCTCCTGCTAGACCTACAAAAGGTTTGGAAGACAAACCTTCAAGAAGTCCAGGTCAAAATGGGGGTGTTGTCCCCCCAATTGTTGGAGGTGTGTGGCGGACAAAGGTACCTTCCAACACATATGGTTGACTTGCGAATTAGTAACGAGCTTCTGGAAAGTAGTCTGGAACACTGTAAATATAGTGACGGGAGTGAATATTCCCCATACCCCTGAGGCACTGCTTTTTCTGCATTTCACATTACCACGAACGCGACTCAAACACTCTCTAATATACTTCATGCTGACAGCAGCCAAATCAATTATAGTGAGTTTATGAAAGTCATTGTCACAACCCTCTAGGAGAGAGTGGTACACAAAAATTGAATACTTCCATACAATGGAGGAACTATGATGGGGATGGGGATCTACAGATATCATAGGCGTGCGCACGGGGTGTGCCGGGTGTGCCTGAGCACACCCTAATCCCCGCGGCATGCCTATGGATTGAGTCCTGCAGGAACAGCATTCCTGCACTCAGTGCCCCCAAATGCCCTCTTCCTCCCCCCGTGTTGCCCCTGACATGGGGGGGGGGGGAGGGGGCAAGAGGTGATGGATCCCCCCCCCTCTAACCATCTCAGCCACGGCGAGGGAGCTGTGTGCTCTCTGCTTCCTCTCGCCGCGTGCCGTTTGCTGATGCCGGGAGCCGGAATATGACGTCATATTCCGGCTCCCAGCTACTGTAGACAGCCCGCGCGGCGAGAGGAAGCAGAGAGCACACTGCTCCCTCGCCGCGGCTGAGATGGTTAGAGGGGGGGGGATCCATCACCTCTGAGATGGAGACAGGCGCCCGCCCCACTGGACCCCAGGGACAAGTCCACGCCAGCACTCCAGGTAGGGAGGCCGGGTGGACATTTTTTTATTAAAACATAATAATTTGTATGTATGTGTGTCTGTACGCATATATATATATATATATATATATATATATATATATATATAAACACACACATACATACACACACACATACACACAAGTGTACATTCTTTTTTGGGAGGGGGGGGGAATCTTGGGAGAGTTCCCACACATTATTCCACAGGACTTGTACCCTTGTCTCCCGATCTCCCCTGTCGGCTCACGCAGAGCCGGCGCTATCTGAGTGCCGGCTCTGCTCTAAGCCTCCATGGGCTGGCGGGGAGACCAAAGATCTACCTCACCGGCCCACAGCAGCATGGAGGAATGCTACATAAAATTATCTTAATTGTTCATATTTTGGTATTTGACTTTGAAATACCCACCGTTACATTCCGTTCAACCCCCAGCACAATCACAGGAGAGGAGGTGTTCCATCCTGTAGAACAGAATGAATTATGGGGGTTTAATAGAAAAATATACATATTTTTATGATTTAACTTTTTCCATGATATTGCCATTTATGCAGTAATGCACAAATACTTAAAAACAAAAAGCATTTTTTTTTTTTTTATTGTTTTTAGCCTATTTACTGCATCTCTACATTCCTTTATGGACACCATACCTATACATAGGTACGTCAAAAGATAGGGATACAGAGCAAGCAATGTGTAGGTGCAGCGTTTCAGCTTGAAACACTACCTGTATAGAAAATTCTGTGATTTTGTGCTGCGGTGAGCACACGTGCACGGGGAGGCATATACGACTATGTGCGCATGTACTCCGTGGGAAGAAATAATCTCGTTGTGGAAATTGTTCAAGCTCTGGAAATAAGACTTCCAGTCGGAGGTGTCTTCCTGATGAGTCAGCTATGGGAAAACCCACTAAACAGTGTGTCTACAAGAAGGTGAACGTTGCCATTTTGTACAGTGCTGCGTTATTTTTAATGCATTATCTGTAAAAATGTATTAAAATTTAGGGAGATCATTTTTCTCCAAATGATTTCCTTTCAAAGTTTGGCAAACTAATATACCCCCCACCCAATTTTTTTATTTTTTTTAAATGCTGAATTATTTATAAAGCTTTGTTTAGAATGATTAAAGACTGTATATTAAATAAGAAGACACTTATCACACTGCATTCTATATAGAACCCTCAGATCTCAATCTCCACGCTGTGCAGCCTCACACCGTCACGTGGCTTGTGGTTTCCCAAGGGGAGAAGACTCCTAAGAGAACCCTCCCAGTGACAGCGAAGGATGAAGTCTCGCGATGTTTCCACGGTCCGCGCGTGATCTTCTACAAGAGCGAGTATACCCCCTCTTTCCCAAAGAACAGTGTGTGTCACGTGACTGACCGTGAGCTCTCACTTGGTGGAATCTGTGCAGCGCGTTCGGCATCGGTGAGCGGTCTCCTATCTCTGCGGAGAGTGCTGTGCGCGCTCCCGCTTGCACAGCTATGACTGAGTCAGTGCGTGTCTGAGCGTGATGGGAAGCGCAGTCCTGCAGAGACAGCCCTCTATAGCAGCCAGCCCAGGGCCCCATGTTATCACATGGCTTCCTCAGGCTGCAAGGAAAGTGGGTCTGATCAGTTCTGGGCTGGGAGGGATTTTACTCCATTATATCAGATCATATATTGAATGCAGGAATGGCCCCCCTCTGACAGCCATCAAGGCAGAGCACCTTAGTGTCTAATATAGGGAGGAAAGGGTTAATCCCTTACTTTTTCTCAGCGTCGGGCTCCATCGGCACTGGGGACTCTCCTCCTCCTTTCCCGTTATCGGCTGAATGCGCATCGGCGCGCACATTCAGCCAGTCTCAATGCTTTCCTATGGACGCTGGCGTCTTCTCACTGAAAATCACAGCGAGAAGCGCGGAAGCACCTCTAGCGGCTGTCAATGAGACCGCCACTAGAGGCTGGATTAACCCTAATGTAAACATAGCAGTTTCTCTGAAACTGCTATGTTTACAGCAGAAAGGGTTAGTCCTAGAGGGACCTGGCACCCGGACCACTTCATTAAGCAGAAGTGGTCTGGGTGCCTATAGTGGTCCTTTAATAATCTGACTTTTTATTTTTTACATGTGGACACCTGCAGTCAGGGCCGCCATCAGGTGGTGATAACCATGATGGTTGTCACGAGCAGTCCGGGCCCCACATTCCCTCTCTGCACACATAGCGAATATCACTATCTTATGTGTGCAGCTGCGGCTCCCTGTTACCGCAGAGGGGGCCCAGCACACTGCGTCTTCACATTCAGTTCATTTCCTCCAATACCTCTCGCGAGACCCGCGGCCACGGGTTACCATGGCAACGCTCTGCACAACACGCAGGCCGCGGGTCTCGTGAGAGTTATGTGAAGACGCAGTGTGCTGGGCCCCCTCTGCGGTAACAGGGAGCCGGGGGCCCCACCGTGCCACTGGACCACCAGCGAATGGAATTTCCCCCTCCCTGGACACAGGTAAGAAGCAGGGAGAGACATTTAATTAATTAAATTTCATGTGAAAATGCCCCTTCAGGACAATGGGCCCTCCAGGACAAGAGGCTGGCAAGGCTTTTTTTGCCGCCCCCCCCGAGAAAGTGCAGACCAAGGTAAATGCCTTGTTTGCCTCGGGATAAACCCACCCCTGGACACCTGACCATTACGCCTGTGTTAGCTGATTGTGCATTCTTTTACTAAATCCACTGAAGTAATGTCAGTATGTCCTGCGTAAAAATCTTATATCAAGAGGTTAAACAAGTTCTGAATGTTTTCATCCTGTACGGGTAAGATGGCACCCAGGACATCCTGGCTTTATAACTTAATTGAGATTATAGACACAGTTTTGGCACCAGAACAACTAACTGGAAGTGAGGTTGTTATGGTGCGAGGAGGTACCCAAAACTTTCTTACCATAAGGGGTTAAAGTGTTCATGAACAGTTTAGTCTGTGATCCAGCGCAGGATGGCTTTGTCTCCCAGACCTTCCACTTCCCCACCCACCCACTGACCGCTAGGAATGTACATGGGCAAAAATTTGGTTCAGCACTTCTGAAATACGGGACTTTGGCAATTCTCTAACCCTACCCTATACCCCTAACCCCACCCCCTTCTTAGAATTATTTCAAAACGGCAAACACTATCCTGTGTCAAGTGATGCATGTCCCTTTAAATGCATACAGCTGATTCAAATCCGCAAATAATAGGTTGCTTCATTCTTTGGCCTTATTTGCAACCATGTTACGTATCGATTTTGCAATGGTTATTTGTTTGCTTATATTTGATAGTTGATGTGGTTCTGTTATTTTATTCCAAATGCTTACCTTCTGTTGCAGTATACTTCCCAGGAAAGAGTGGGGCATTCAGCGGGTTCCTGGTTATCTGAGCGGCGGGGTTCAGTCCTGTGCAGCTCACACTGGGAGTGTGGGTTGTACAGACACTTTTTAAAAGCACAGAATGACTTGAGCAAGTTGCTCAGTTGTTCTGTGCTCTCAGATAGTGTGTTATTTGGGGTGTCTATATATTCTTCAGATTTGACCATTTGCTTATGTTCCCTGACTGTGTTTATAGGATTTGCCCCTGTATACGCTTCGGGTATATTTTCCATTTTTTTAACTCTGACCTTGGAACTGTCAGGGTGGCGGTCCGGTGCCCGGCAACCAGACACTGTCCGGGTGGCGGTGCGAGGACCGGGACCCAGTATGTCTGATATTCAGAGTAGGAGTCACAGTGTGGAGGAGGATTAGCAGGGTCTGGTGCAGGGTAACCGCACGCCCCATGGTGTGGAGCACCAGGGTTTGTGCAGCCACATACCAGAACCCTGATTCAGCTTATGCGGATCCCAGGAACTAGGAGCAGGAAATAAGCAGATCTCCCAGGAGCTGAATAGGGGGGCTTTGCAGCAGGTTTGTATCCAGTACAGAAACAAGGCAAGACTAGAGATAGGCACCAAACATGAAAACAAGACAGAACTAGGAGAACCCAGAACTGGAGAAGGATAGGAAGCTAAACTCAGAACATGTACACAAGACACTAGGGAAACATGAACATAACATGGGCATGACTGGACAGGACTTGACATGGACTGGGTATACAAACTAAAACAAGATAAGATAGGCAAAACAAGAGGAGAAATAACGAAGTACTATATATGAAAATCATGGGGGTTTAGTTACATTATATGATCATACATTGCATAAGCCTGCCAACAATGCCAACGTACCCCATATCTGGCAGGTTCTACTCTGCCTAATGCAAGCTAAACCAACCAAAGAAAACACACACAGTACTTACCTGCAAGAAAGGTCAGAAGACTTGAGCAGCTGCCTACAGGACACTAAAACAAAAATGATTGATAGAAAACAAACAGTTGTGGCAAATAAAACAAACATTTAAATGAAGCCAAGAGACTGGGAAATCCAGGGACGGAATATAAGAATGAACCCAGAAATCCCAGCATAAAGAAAACCAGATATAGAATAGAAAACCAAGAAAAACTAAACAAGAATTGTAAAAAGAGTAATGGATACCAGAAGTAATCACCAGACTGATCCGCAGCTAGGAACAGACTTTGACCTCGCCTTCAGGAATCTCCATTCATTCCCATTGTCTTCAGCTCCAATCTTACCCACGTGGCACATTGGGAGACAATGCTCTACACCGCCAATGCTTTTCTTTGCGCGTTTCCTTCCGCTTTGTTCTAGGGCAGTGGTGGCGAACCTATGGCACGCCGAGCCCCCTCTGTGGGCACGCGGCCATAGGTCGCCGGTGGGAGGGAGGGTGCGCTCCGCCAGCGCATCCATAAGGCGGCACAAGTGGCAGCCTTAGGGTGCGCCGGAGTGACCGGCAGGAGGTGAGCGCACAGTGCTCCCTCCTGCCAGGCACTCTGTGTAGCGTGGCCGAGCGCACTGCGGTACAGGAACTTATGTTTACTGTACCCGGGCGGACAGAAATGAAGTGCTCACAGAGAGAGCACTTCCTGTCCGGCTGGGTACAGGAAACTGAGCTCCGCGGTGCGCTCGGCCACGCTACAAGGTAAGAGATCAAGGAGGGGGGGGGAATGAAAACTAAGGGAGGCATGGAGGGGGGAAACTGAGGGAGGTATGGGGGGCTGAGGAGGTATGGGGGAAACTGAGGGAGGTATGGGGGGGAACTGAGGGAGGTATGGGGGAGGAACCGAGGGAGAGATATGGGGGGAAACAGAGGGAGAGATATGGGGGGGAACAGAGGGAGATGGGGGGGGGAGAGATATGGGGGAACTGAGGGAGAGATATGGGGAACTGAGGGAGAGATGGGGGGAACTGAGGGAGAGATATTGGGGGAACCGAGGGAGAGATATTGGGGAACTGAGGGAGAGATATTGGGGGGGAACTGAGGGAGAGAGAACTATGGGGGGACTGAGGGAGAGATATGGGGAGAAAACTGAGTGTGGGATGGGAGAAAAAAATGAGGGAGGGATGGGGGGGAAAGAAAACAGTGTGGGGGGGAGAAGGGGGACGACATACACACAGCACCCCTGCCCTACACATATCACCCCACACATCAACCCACCCACACATCACCCCACACAAACACATCACCCCACACACACACAAACACATACACTGTGTGTGTACTCGGCAGTCTGTGTGTGTGTATTTAGCAGTCTGTGTGTGTATTCAGCAGACTGTGTACTCAGCAGTCTGCTAAATACAGACAAGACTGCTGAGCACACACACAAACTGCTTAATACACACACAGATGTTAATTAGTTCGGACAACTGTATGAGTTGTTTTTTCTAAACTTAAACCTCAGTATTCAGGTTTAATTGCCGTTTTGGCACTTTGAGGGGAAAAAAAAATGGCATGTATTACGGTTTGGGCACTTGGGCTTAAAAAGGTTCGCCATCACTGTTCTAGGGCATGTTTGTATTCACATATGAAATTAAGCAATGTCAAAAGAATGAGTCAGCATGTGGGTGACTGGTCAAGAGTATCTGGATGGATGTGATTTTTCTGGATGTGTTTTTGGTACTTATAATTTTTTTTCCCTCTTTTATCTTTCAGAGAAGTTCCTAAAATACAACATCAAAATCTGAGGATTCCTCAGCAACCACCATCAACTACACGACTGTTGTGAATAACATGGCTTGTCAGAGTGCACCTTCAGGACAAACTGAAACAACTAGTATACCGGCATCCCTCATATTGTTGCCTTTAGCGTCTGGAAGCAAAGAGCAAGACAAGGAAAAAACTAAAATACCAAGAGAGCAAAAACAAAATGAGCAGGAGCCAGCACTGCATAACAACCTGCCTCTTACAGATGATGGCCACTTGGCAGAAACAAAGTCTGCATCCCAAACTCTAACAAAACTGAGGAAAGGAAGAACTCCTAGTCATCAAATGCCACCTGCATGCCAACAAAGAAGACCACCTCAGTCTCTCCAGACAGGGGCTGGCATGGACTTTGAACAGGCACTTGATACACACGTGGACAGTATGAGTAATGGGCAAGACGAATTGCTGGAAATCGACAAATATCGTGACAGTATTTTGCAGAATATTTTGACTTGCTTACAAGATCTCCGAGCACAACAGGAAGATATAAGGAGTGCCCTGGTGCAAGTCACAGAGGCGACACAAGGCATTCAGCAGGATGTTGAGAGTGGGTTTAGGGACATTGTGGCAGCAACTCAGCAGCACATTTATGAAGAACAAGCACCTTTCACCACAACAGCAGCTCTCTCATCACCTATAGGAGCCAAACTTCCTGATGTCTTAGATGAAACGATGACCACAAACAGGGGAGACCGGGGCCATGCAAGTACAAATAAGAGGCCACGCTTGTCACACCCTGAAAGATGAATGAGGGTTCATTATACACTGGACATATTTTTGTGTGTCAAGGTTAATGTAAATGTTTTTTGTTTGTTTTTAAATTAGCAAACATTACATAGTTACATAGCTGAAAAGAGACATGCGTCCATCAATTTCAGCCTTCCTCACATTTGTATTTTTGCTGTTGATCCAAAAGAAGGCAAGAAAAACCCAGTTTGAAGCACTTGCAACAAACTAGGAAAAAAATCCTTCTTGACCCCAGAATGGCAGTCAGATTAATCCTTGGATCAAGCAGTTATTACCCTACATTGAAAAATTATATCCTTGAAAACTTTGTTTTTGTCTGAAGACTACCTGCAAGAATAGCAGTTTTGGAGATGTCACATGTAACTTGTGTGAATAGATATTCTTGCAACTGGAAGTTAATTCATGGGAATAATATAAATGAAATCCAGGAGGTTTTGTTCTTTTGAAACAATTCTGTAGTTTTGTGAGTTGAATAATTGGCTGCACTTTCTAAGGTGCATGTTTTCGGTTGACTATAATACTCAGTCTGTACCAGTGCCTCTGCCAGCCACACAAACTGCAATCCATGATGCTAATTACTTGCTTGTTGGTGTATTGAATATCTGTCCACTTACTGTATTGATGTCAATATCAGTCATCTTGCGTCAGTTGAGTTGTGGCACAGTCCAAGACAGATTGGACCATCTTTCTGAAGACTTCCAGCATCAAGAATTTGATGAGAGGGGAAATAGGATTCTTGTGACAGAAAACCTTAGAAATTTTACTCTGTTCCCTAAAATAGGATATTTTTAGCTAAAATATTTGTTTACAAAAAAGTTTGCAATTAGTTATGTGCACTGTAATTTTAAATGTTTTATAGACATTTGAAATAATTCTCAGAATTATTTAAAAAATGATCTCATGCAAGCAGTAGTTAACATGTTTGCCCTTGACTACAAAAGAATGTCTTATTAAATACTAAATAATCTGCCTACTCCAGAATGTGTAAGGAAACAATGTGCACCTATTCTACTGGTGATTTAATTGGGTTCTGATGAGTGTTTAGTTTTTGTGAATGTACTTTTATGTTGCATTTATTTAAAGGGACACTATAGTCACCTGAACAACTTTAGCTTAATGAAGCAGTTTTGGTGTATAGAACATGCCCCTGCAGCCTCACTGCTTAATCCTCTGCCATTTAGGAGTTAAATCCCTTTGTTTATGAATCCTAGTCACACCTCCCTGCATGTGACCTGCACAGCCTCCATAAACACTTCCTGTAAAGAGAGCCCTATTTAGGCTTTTATTGCAAGTTTAATTAAAGGACCACTATAGTGCCAGGAAAACACTTGTTATAGTGCCCCTATAGGTCCCCTTCCCGCCGGGCTCTGGGGAGAGGAAGGGGTTAAAATCTTACCTTTCTCCAGCGCCGGGCGGGGAGCTCTCCTCCTCCTTCATAGCGACGTCATCGGCTGAATACAATGCTTTCCTATGGACGCTGGCGTCTTCTCACTGTGATTTTCACAGTGAGAAGCACGCAAGCGCCTCTAGTGACTGTCAGTGAGACAGCCACTAGAGGCTGGATTAACCCTATTATAAACAAACATAGTTTCTCTGAAACTGCTATGTGTAAAAAAAGGGGGTCTTAACCCTAGCTGGACCAGGCACCCAGACCACCCATTAAGCTGAAGTGGTCTGGGTGCCTATAGTGGTCCTTTAAGATTTTCTTATCCCCTGCTATGTTAATAGCTTGATAGACCCTGCAAGAGCCTCCTGTATGTGATTAAAGTTCAATTTAGAGATTGAGATACAGTTATTTAAGGTAAATTACATCTGTTTGAAAGTGAAATCAGTTTGTTTTTGTTTTTTCATGCAGGCTCTGTCAATCATAGCCAGGGGAGGTGTGGCTAGGGCTGCATAAACAGAAACAAAGTGATTTAACTCCTAAATGACAGTGAATTGAGGAGTGAAATTGCAGGGGAATGATCTATACACTAAAATTGCTTTATTTAGCTAAAGTAATTTAGGTGACTATAGTGTTCCTTTAAGTTACTTCTGCAATTTCACTATGTGGTCACTGTGCTTTTTGGAGTGGAGAAAAGGGTTTTACTTTGCAAATCTTGATAATCTATATCAGCTGGAGTAAATCTACTTTTTGGCTGTTTCTAGGCTATTGGACTAAATCTGAAATTCACTTTGAATTCCTGACCATTCTCACTTTAGTAAATAACTCAGAGTGTATTACCTTTTTAGAAGTTTTTATTTTATTCCTTGTAAGTAAAACCACTACAGTATAATGGTTATGGTGCAAAAAGACTGTCCCTGCAGACTGACAATAGTAAACATTGCCTTTTCTGAGAAAGTGCAACTGTGTATATAGTGCTAATTATAAGGCACTGCCAAGTAGACTGATTTGCCTCTTTCAATTCAAAGTGCCAACAAAAATGTCTGTGGCGCAAATCAAATTGTATGTGCTAAATATATAACCAATATTATTACACAAAAGTGCAAGTGGAATCCAAATGGGAGATATGTACCTTGTTATTCATATGACCACCTGCAATTTCAATTTAGAAATAGGAGAAAGGGAATAAAAACAAAGACCAAAATAGTGTAGTATTTTATGTAAATAATGAATATTAAAAAGAAAACCAGGGACAGGCACTGTGAAATACCCCCCTGGCAATCAAGATTCATTTAACCTTCTATGAAGTGTGTACATGTGTCCTTAAGGACACCTCTAGACATCCACATGTGTTTCTGCAATCTTTGCAGGACTGGCAATCGGCATGTTACATAGCTAAAAAGAGATTTGCTTCCATCAAGTTCAGCTTTCCTTACATATGTTTTTGCTGTTGATCCAAAAGAAGGCAAAAAACCCAGCCTGAAGCGCTTCCAATTTTGCAACAAACTAGGAAAAAATTTCTTCTTGACCCCAAAATGGCAGACAGATATCTCCTTGGATCAAGCAGCTATTACCCTACTAATTAGAAATTATATCCCTGTATGTTATGTTTTTGCAAGTATTTATCCAATTGCAGTTTAAACATCTGTATGGACTCTGATAAAACCACCTTTTTAGGCAGAGAATTCCATATCCTTATAGCTTATACTCTGCATGAAGACACTATAGAGATACGTTGAGCTAATGCATTTCTATGAAGAGATGCTTATTTGTTCAACAGTACATCTTATTTCCCCCCCCCAACGGTCTTTGCAAAAAACAGACTGTGACAGCCATTTTAATTCTAAATAATTTTTCTAAAATGGCTAGTGCACACTGTAGCAAACTCACCCCTTTAAGGGAGTTTGCCATGAGTTTTTGGAGAGGGTTGCTTGCCCGCCTCCTGCCCTGTGACTACGGCCCTTGGGATGTATTGCCCTTTAAGAACGTATTTGGGCATAAAGGATTTACCTTCTCCAGACTTCAATGCATTCGACAATTCAAACGCCGTTCGACAGTTAATTCGAATGGTTGTCGTTCGTCTGTTTGAACTGACTTTAACATGGGAAATAGACCGACCGCACAGCCTGATTCTCTGGAACTGTTTTGGGCATGAAAATCTTTGTGCGGTCGGTCAAAAAGGACTTCCAGCTAACTTTTTAACTACTGGAGGAATTTGTATGATTTTTGGGTATGTTTGTATTTGAAGTATGCGGAGTAAGAATATGTAACTTTTATGAAGATTGGATATTTTAGCAGTTATAAGAAATGTGTAAAAAGTACTTTTCCTGCCTGTGATAATTACTTTAACCCATTGTGCTCAGTAATTATATCACAGGCAGAGGGGAAGATTTGTGTGTAATTGCTGGGAGTGTTTTACTGTAATGTACGTGTTTTATTGGTTGTTTTACAAAACACTGTGGGCAGTACTGTGTGTAAAATGTGCATAAAAGCAGTGTGTTTCATTAAAACTTCAGTTCTACTTCACCTTCAATTTGAAGTGCCGTCTCTTATTGGGGGAATCTGCTACAAGGGATTGCTATGCTAGTCACACTCTCTTGCTATATCACTACTAAGCTCTTGTAAGAGCTTGTTCCTGTCTTGCTCTCTGAAGGAGTCTACGGTGGTTATGGTGTCGGCTGGAGTGCTTGGAGCCCTCAGGAAGAGCTAGGAACATCCTTCAATGGAGGTACCCAGTCGGGGTGCCAGGTGATCCGTTACACACCTTTAGTAAATAACTCTGTATGATGCAGCACTCTCCCAGTTTAGAGTCTATAATCTGTGGGATAATTGTTTTTGTACTAACCAAGACATATGGAGAACTGACAGACAAAATACATATTTTAGATCAAAATAATTAAACATTCAGTGAGAATTCAAAGTGTATTTCAGACTTAAAGCCAAAAATCGCCAAACTGGGAAAAATAATCTGTCCTGTTTGGATGGCTTGGCTTAAAAATTTGAAAATTTAATGTGAATTAATTTTTTATTCTCACGTTAGTGAATAACCTTGTAAATGTACTTTACAATTCTGGGTTTAATAAAACACGTGAATATTTACTAAGCAACAGCGATGAAGCTGTTTCCTGTAAGTTCTTCCCCATAAGTGATTAAACCCTGCATTAACTTTAAAGTGTGCCAGTAAATTCAAACTGTCCTGACAAGGTTTCTTTTCATTTGGTAAATGTTTTTAAATGTTAGATACACCTGCAGCCTAATTCAACGTGCAGGGAATTGTGGAGAATTGAAAAGGGAGTTGGAAATATTAGGCCAAAACAATAAGTTTGTAAACTTTCTTAACTCCTTTTCAAGGACCAGATTTACCATTAGATGGAGTAGACAGCTCTCTACAATTTCACATACCTGATGAGGGCATCTTCTTTGCCTGTTAAAGTCCCGCTCCCCACATTTAGTCAGATGTTTGCTGACTATAACTGAAGCTGCAGGACTCTAAGATTCTGTATTCTATCTGAGGGAGCCTGAACAGTGATGATCTAGAGAGAGGAGAGGGGACTGGGGCCAAATGGGCAAATCATAAATTGCAGGTACACACGCTACTTAAAATATTTTTACCCACACTGTACATACATACAAAGCGTTATCGATTCCAAATAACACTATACACACACATTACTACCCACATGTTAAAGAAACACTTCTAGACTTGCAGCTACCAACACACACTCCACAAACACATGAACACACTTCTACATATGCTCACACATATATACATAAACAGGATGAAACAGAGACAAAAGCAGAAGTGGTTGTGGATATTGGAGCAACCCTTTAACCCCTTAAGGACACATGACGTGTGACATGTTATGACTCCCTTTTATTCCAGAAGTTTGGTCCTTAAGGGGTTAAAGAGATACTATAGCCACCAGATTTGTATTTGTTCTGCTGAGTATAATCATTACCTTCAGGCTTTTTGCAGTAAACATGGCTATGCAGAGAAAACTAATTTTACTTACTGTAAATTCCTTTTTCCTTAATATGGTTTCCGTACACTAGGGATGTGTAACGGCTTACCTTTGTTGGAGTTTGTAGCGCAGATATGTTCACTCACCCTTGCAGATAAACACAGTCCAAGGTGACCAGATAAGAAGCTACCTGGACTGTGAATCTGTGCATGGGGGCTGTGCAGGAAAGGTGCTCCAATACACAGTGCATATAAGGTCATAAGCAGAAGGATAGTCAGGGGTAAGCCGAAGTCAGAAGAGTGGAGCCAAGGTCAGAAGCCGGGGTCAATCTGAAGAACAAATTCAATAGACAAGGAAACAGGAACTACACACAATCACCAGAGTCAAAGAACTGTCAAAATTCCCAGGACGAGGTTGATGAGTGATCTGCCTCAGGTGAAGCACAGGTAATAGACACAGAAGTCGTCCAGCTGCCAGTACTGCAGACATAGCCAGGTATAACAAGGATAGAATTACTCAAAATAACAGAATCTGCAGTGGCTTAGAGGCAGTAGAGCAGGCCCAGGACATGAAGGACCCAGGTTTAAATTCCCTGTCTGGCACCTGTGGGGTGACAACGCCTGACCGTCTGGATTTCATGTTGAGAACCTGGGACATCTGAAATAAATTAATCCTCTCCCAACAGGTATAAAACAGAGATGTACCCTGAGCCCTTGGTTCGTATCAATAACACACTAGAGACCTGGTACAGCAAAAATAATTTATCAAAAAAGTGGGGGAAAGTTGTACTGTTACCATATTAGAAAAAAGGAATTTACAGTAAGTAAAATTACAGTTTTTCTTGACATATGGTGGCAGTACACTAGGGATGTATCGAGATCCCAGAACACTGCTTGTAACACCTTATGAATGCCCGAAAGCAGCCTCAGAGGCAGAGAATATGTCTAGTCTGTGTAATGCTCTATGAAGGTGTTGAATGAAGACCATGTAGCCGCTCAGGAAATATCTTTCTGCCCAAGAGGTATCCATAGCTCTGGTTGAATGTGCTTTCAAAGATGTAGGCAAAGGCAAATTAGAGGAAGCATAAGCCAATTTTATGACATCCATGAGCCATCTAGCCAGACTAGCCTTGGAAGCTGGAAGACCTTTACATTTTCCCAAAAAATTTACAAAAAGATGATCAGTTTTCCTGAAAATCAGAGGAATGATCAATATAAATCATAACGGCTCTTCTGACATCTAGCATGTGCCCACTTCTCTCCAGCTCAGAGGCTGACAGCCTACCAAATAACGGAAGTACAATCAGATGAATTATAGCCCTAGAAGTGATGACTTTAGGCAGAAATGATGGTTTCACGTGTAAGAATCTTGTCTGGAAAACATATAGTAAATTCTTGAGAAGATGAAAAAGCCTGAATTTCTCCGATTCTTTTAGCAGATATTATGGCTACTAAAAAAGTGGCCCTAGAGACAAGAGCTTCAAGGAAATTTCTTCCAAAGATTCGACTTTTCTAGGTTTATGACCCAACCATGCTCCTTTAAGATTCTTAGAGTGTAATTCACATCTTCTACCAGAGCGTTTCTTGATTTTGCTTTGATAAACCAATCGTCTAAGTAGGGAATGATGGTAATACCCTTTTCCCTTAAGACAGCAGTGATAGGGGCTAAGACCTCCGTGAAGATCCTCGGTGCTGAGGAGAGTCTGAATAGCAGGGCTTTTAACTGGAATTGATGAATCTTGCTCTCAGTAGGACCTTGGGTGTTTTATAGAAAACCTTAGGTATTTCCTTGAGACTTCCTTCATAGTAATGTGCAGATATGCATCTTTTAAATCCAGTGTAGCCAACAGATCTCCTTTCTGCATGGTATCCGTCACAGATGCAATGGTTTCCATTCTGTGTTGATATGGAATCATGCAGTTTATACCCTTCAGATCTGGAATGGGACGGAAAGACAGATCTGGTTGTGGAACGAGGAACAGGCGAGAGTAAACTCCTTGAAATTGTTGAGCCTTTGGAACTCTCTCCATGACCCCCTTTTTTAAATAGGTTCACCGTGGAAAAAAACTGAACTTGTTATTTTAATTTTGATTGGTAAGAGGATCCTAGGGAATTTGGTCTTGGAGTATCCCAGAATCTGATTTTGTAACCATTTGCCACTAGATTTAAAATCCACTGATTTGAAGTGGTTTCTCTGCATCTGTGTACAAAATGCCATATTGTCAGGGTATTTATATCGGCAGACATCTTGTGCTATGATAGAAATTAAAAGTGTATATTCTGAGTCACTCTGAACAGACCAGACTCCATTTTGTTATTTCCAAGTTAACAAAAGACACGAGATTTCTATCTGTAAAACTAACCACTTTGCCAGAGCTAAAGGAATGCATAGTATATACAAACCAAGTGATAAGGAGAATGGGGGTTGGATAGACTGTCTAAAATGCTAATGGAATATAATCAATTCTAAACCCAGACATTTGTGACAGAGGAGATTAAATAATAAAATTTTACTTTCTATATGTACAAGGTCTCATTGTAAGTTACGGGTCAAAACTCAGAATTTGCCAGACACATAGTCTGGACAAAACTTAAAGAAAACCCTTTGAAGTGAAAGGAAACTTAAATTATGGCCACTATAAAGATAGGCCAAAATGACGTCAAAATAGCCACCTGGAAAAGTTAACTCTTTCCTGGATTGGTATGTTTAGTGGGACAAGACTGCCCTCTATAGACCAAATAACTAAATTGCGATCTGGAAGATAACCACACCCCCAGTATTGCTATTGGTTTAGCAACTAGTGAATTTTCCCTTTAAAAGTTAGGACAAAGGGAAGATAGAGGGTATGTAAAGGAGAAGGAAAAAAGAGGAGAGAGGAATTGGAAGTTTGGGGACTCCAACTCGGACATGCAGAGAAACCCAGGACAACATCTGAGACTAACACTCTACTCTTAAAACTCTAACACTTAGAATTTTACTGACTTTCTAACCAACACCACCTTTCACCATAACTCATGCACCTACAGACATCCAAATAAGTTCCTGAGACTATCTACCAATCGGATGAAATATCTACTCAACTGGTAATTATACTGGTTTCATTTAATTAATTAAATTAATAAAAATTTACTCATGGCATGATATATGACTGGATAAAGCACGGTCAGATTTCCATATTTAGAAATCTTAGTTAACTAAAGAATATATAGTTATAAACATTCCATTCTGCAGGTGGAATTAAGAATAATTATATATTAATGTGATTTTATCACGTGTTAGCATACCGCTGTTTTTATCCAGGTGTATTGATTTGCTCTAAATTAAGATAAGATATCTTTTAGACAAATTAAACTCTGCTTATAAAATATGGTAGATTCTCTTATTGGATGGTTCCAGGAAATGACTAATGAACTGGTTTAAATGTTATTTTATTTAAAATTACATAAGAATAGATCTTAATTACCTAGGAGATCTAGCCAACATTGAAAGGGTTATTCTAACTGTTAGCCAGTGTTTTATGGCCCTTCGCTGTGAAAAGTTTTGCTTCCTCTCTGTGAAAGATAATCATAAATCGTCAAAAGTCTTGACAGAAAATGCTGTTTAGCCATTGAAACGTGTATAGACATTCCATTGTATTGCATATCATTTTATACTGGATATTCATTGATTATTGTCATGCATGTTACATAATATTATTTGTTAATTATTGTTATTATAAAATAAATCTATTTTTATAACATTGTGATATTATTTATATGAAATACATTTCATTTAACACAATAACGATATTTGGATCTGAGAATTGAATTAGTGGGCAATTCTCACTGTTTACAATTATTATCCCATAAATATCCCCACAATATCCTTCCTCCCTCTTATATGGCATCAGAATCTTTTGGCTCTATCTGTTCTGATATCTTTGCGGTTATCAAATTTGCTTTGTCTATGAAAATAACTGGATCTTTCTTGATGTCCTCTACGGTTTTTATACTGGAAGTTCTTATATCTAGGCTTCCAGGAATATTTCCTGTGTTGAGGAAGGGCTTTCTTAGTTTCCGACATCTGTTCAATCAAATCTTCCAATGGAGATCTAAATAACTTCTTCCTTTTCAATTGAAGTTCACAGAAAGCCATCGTAGAGGCTGTAACTGCCATCCAGGCTTTAAGCCAGAGGGCTCTACGGGAAACTGAGGTTAAACCCATCATATGAGACAAGAGTTTAACCACTTCTGTGATCATATCCAATTAGACAATTTAGGGTTTAGGAACAGGTGTGCAAGATCCTTGTCTTCTTGTTCTGCTAAGTAATCTTCTGACTGAATCCAGTAAGTCTGAGCTTTCGCTGCGAAAGCTCCTTCCATAGCAGCATTACTTGGAAAACCAGCCGCTTGGTAAGCCCACTTGCAAGAAGTTTCAGCCCTTTTATCCATTGGGTTCTTTAAGCCAGAAACTTCCCCAATTGGAATTGTTTTTATTTTTTTAGACAATTGAGCTACTTGGACATCGACAACTGGCAAGTCTTCCCATCTGTCTTCTCCTTGTATCTTAAAGATTTGTTTGAAGTGTCTAGATATAAACAGCCTCTTTTCTGGGGTTTTCCACTCTTTATTCATGAGTTCCAGTATTTGCTGCTGTACTTGCAGGGCCTTTTATTACCTTCTACTGATATATCTTCAGGTAAGGCAATTTTCACTTTTTCAACCAATCTTTTTAATTCCTTGTGTGGGAATCCAAATTCCGCTAAGGAAGAATCACCTGATGTGTCTGAATAAGCAGATGCTAAACACTCATTAGAAGAATCACCTCTGATGATGTCAGGCAAGCAGGTAGATCAGAGACAGAGCCAGCAGCAGAATTGAATAAAAATAAAATTTTACTATATTTAGGAGGGCCAGGGAGGTGAGTGGGGGGAGATGGTGGTTTTAACACTATAGGGTCAGGAATACATATTTGACCCTATAGTGTGCCTTTAAATGTGAAATTCACTTTAATTTCCCAATTTAGTGAATAACACTGAAAAAGACCCAGCACTCTCAGGTGTTGAAATTTGTGTTTTTATTTTGTATTTAAAGTATATATAATATTAAGTAAACTATAAATGCTGTAAAGCATATTTTTAACTTGTATTTGTAGTTTATTTTCAACACAGTAGTATACATTTTAAAATTTATAACTAACAGTAATAGAAAGGTCAAATATAATAATGGTTTAAAACTAGGGACTATGACTTGGAATCTGGGGTAATTCACCAATGCCTATTCCCTCCCCCCATATCTCTCTTAAATGTATTACTATTATTACTATGGAGCAGGAAATTCAAATTGAAACAAGCTTGATATCTTTCGAAATGAGCATACATGTAAAAGAAAGTGTGAGAGTATATAAAGTGATGGAAGAAGCATCTTCAGTATATTTTCCATGCTTGACCAATAGCAATGGTTTCACTTTACCAGAGAATATTTTCAACATTTGGAATGAGCTTGATGTGGCTACTAATATTCAAGCTCAATCTCCATCAAAGGAGACCTCACCTTGGCCATCTGAGTTAGAAGAAGCATCTTCAATGTATTTTCTATCCTTATTTGACAGCAATGGTTGCACTTCCCCAGAGAATAGATTTAACATCACCCGTGAGCAACCTCTAAGTACATCAGAGGAGACCTCACCTTGGCTATCTGGATTAGAAGATAACTTCTATGAACCATTTAAGTTTTTTTTTAACACCCTCAATAAGTTATCATGGACCCATGACTTGCTATTTCAATGACTTACATGACATAAGGAAACAAGTAAAGGAATTTTACCTAATGGTAACTGCTGGGGATACATATGAAATAATGTGATTAGTGTGAATAAATGTTTGTGGCAGACCGCCTGGTACCCCGACTGGGTGCCCCCGCCAATCGATGCTCCTAGTGCTCACCAAGTACTCCAAGCACTCCACCAGACACCGTCAGCACCGTAGTTCCCATTTCCAGTGTTACAGCTTGGTTGGGGTCTCCACCCACTCTGGACCCAAGACCAGGATTCAGTTTCCAATGGGTAGACCTCTCCTCCAAGAGAGTGTAGCAATATGCTCTTAAAAGAGAAAGTGATTATAATACCAGGGGAGTATAGTGATATAGCAATCTCCAGGGTAGATACAGCCGTCTTCCCCAAACATGAGTCTATGCCTCTCGTTCAGGAACTTGCTCCCACCGAACGCCGCTCTTCTCATAAGAACGCCACCGAACATACTTGGAGATGGAAGTCTCAGCGGTGTTCGCGCCGTTGAGTGTCCGATTATAGTTCCATGCACTCAACGACCAAACACCACTGTATGTCCTCGCAGCTAAAGATGGCTGCTGCCACGTGTTCGCACATACGAACGATGGCCACCCAGCTAACCACTTAGAATGTTGCGGTTAAGGTGTTGATAGGAGTCAAAAGAGTCAACAAGCAGCACATGACTGTTCTGGATGGTCGGTCCGTTCGACAGTTCATTCGGTATACGAACAACATCAGGGACGCAGGATGGCAGCCTTTGATGATCCGTTCGGCAAGCCCCAAATACCGAACCATACAAGAACAAAAGGCACGAACAGTGTCTGTAAGCAAGGTTTATCACAGGGCCATAGTCCTGGAGCAAGAGGCTGGAAAACAAGCCCCTCCAAGAACCAGTGGCAAGGTTCCTTTCGTCCCAATGTTCTTCTATCAAAATTCACTTGCAGCACAAGAAAATACAATCAGTTGATGCTTTATACCAACTGAAAAATTTGAAGATGGCATGCGGCCATTCGTTAACAGCAAAAAAATTTTTTTACAGTTTCAGCCTTGTTTTTCACTGTTAGTATTAAAAATGCATTTCTTCATAAAGCAGAAACCTTATTACATTATGGATGAATGGTTTGAGATATTATCTTAAACAAGTCAAGAAAATAAGCATGGGTATTACAGTTACTTGAAGGGAAACCTTTCTCGTTTCACCGTTACAGTACACAGGAATTTAAAATATTCCTATACGGCAAATAAGAAATCAGCCAACACTGAAATTCAAATGTTAACAAAGGCAAGGTGAGTCAAAAGCTAAGAACTACCTGTAAGACACATATTGTTCGGTTCATTTCATCATTATCAGTGTTAATGTCCAATGGGAATAACTATAATGGATGTTACCCCAACCCTAAGCAGTTATCATCAGTGCATTAACATTTAGTATTTACAGGAAGTTGTTGTTTCCTGACATTTTACTTTCCCTGAAATGTTACAGTATTACCCCATCTTTAGGGGCTAGCCATGCAAAAAAGGACTGCAAAGATGATAGTTAAAGAGGGAGAAGGTTACGTTTTGGGATGGAACTTGGAGGGTCAACAGAACTGGCATTTTAAACAACTTTTTCTGTTAGTTTATTTTTTGCATAAGACTGTGTCCTGGAACTAGGAACAGGGATATAAACATCCTCTAAATGGGCAAAGAAAAAAATTATCTTTGCAGAAAGGTTTTCAGTCTTCTGGCATATAATGTACCATAATGTATCATGGATTGGACAGCTGGGTATATAATGACTGCAATGTATAATGTTACATTTGTCCAGAGACAATACAGATTGTTTTCTCTTTTCTAGATCGTTTTCTCTTTTCTGGTGGAGTCTGGCCAGATGCATGATGGCGGTAGGAGGCCCAGACAAACCAGACATCCTATGCGACTTTCCCTCAGTCTGGTGCGGCGTAGGTGACGTTGGAGGAGCCGGAGCAGGTGATGGAGGTGTTCCAGTGACTATCCGGGCTGCTGGCAGGTGGATGCGGCTTGGAGCGGGCGATGGTCGGCGGGCCAAAGATGGACGGCATGCTCGTCCAGCTTCTCTTCCAGTGAGGCAGATGTGACGTCGGAGCGTGCCGGTTGCGCAGAATGATGGATGCCATCGGAGGCAACGCAGGGCGAGTACGCGACGGAGCATGCTAATATCACAGGCGCCATCATCTTTGAACAGGGCACAGTGGGCTGGAGAGCCGGGGAGCCTGGAGGCTTGCCTGGAAAAGATACCGGAGTGGAGGAGGATGGCGGCCGGGTGAGCGGTCGGCTGTGGGAGGCAAGTGGATACGGCCTGAGCAGCAGTGGAGGCGGAGGATGGAGGCCTGTGGTGGGGTTGGCTATGGATGGTAGAGGACTCAGGACAGGAGGAAGGCCTGGAGTAGCGAGAGGAGCAGCTGGAGGACCGGGTGCCTGGCAGTCAGCCTGCGCAGGTGCTTGGGGGTAGTTTTGGTGCCAGGCATGGAGTGATAAAGGAACCACAGGATGAGATGTTGCGCTTTCTAAGGGCTTTAGTTGCCAGGGGATGCCGTGGGGAAACGCGCCAGCGACAGGGTCTGCGCAAGCAGCACTGTGGGGCACCTTCTGCCCGAGCATTCCAGAGTGCGAGTTGGCTCCTTGGAGCATGCATGTCCCAAGTGAGATGCGCGAAAAAATTGTAGTGGTATAGTATGAGGATTTGTTATCCCCGGTTCCTCCAGATAAGGATTCCGAGGATAAGCCTCGTAGGGGTGAACCAGGGGAAGGGGAGAAGAGCAAGCAGCTCCCACACGTTTGGGAACTGGTTGCAGGGCTTTAACCCCTTAAGAACACATGACATGTGTGACATGTCATGATTCCCTTTTATTCCAGAAGTTTGGTCCTTAAGGGGTTACTGTGTTTGCTAGCATTCTGTCCCGTCATTTCCCAGATAGGGCCCCTTGGTTGATCAGGTACTTAGATCTTATTTGGGGGGCTTACAAAATTCATGGCGGTCAGTGCTGGTTCAGATATAAATAGCAGTTTAGGCAGAAGATGGCAGCATGCCCAGGGTTGGATTTTGGGGCGCAGGATGGCAGCCATTGGTGACCCCCAGTTGGGCATCACCCTTTCAGGGAGCAGCCGGCGGCCACACCGGTGCGCCGACTGTGCCCAAATGAGGGGTGTGTTGGCTCTTTAACAAGAGCCACTGCAAGTGGTATAGTTTCTGCAGATTCAGACATGACTGATCACACTGCGGAGGTACTTAAAAAAAGCAAAACAGGGGCTTCCAAAATAGGGGGCTCCAGAGACTGCATCCAAAGGCGTGGACTCCGGTGAGCGTGGTAAGGATGGCGCCGTGGCTTGTGCAGTACCCTAGGTGGCAGGAGGCCTTGATTTTGGAGGACGGGTTTTTGGTGGGGTTTTGGACTCCTTTTGTTCATTCGTTGGCGCCACATTTTGCTCACAATTTGCGTTCGGTTAGGGGTAGGGATGTTGCGGGAAAAACTGGAAAAAGATGTTTGCTTGGGGAGGATGGTGGGACCATATGACTTCTCCCCGTTTGATAACCTTTGAGTGTCGCCATTGGGTTTGAAGGAGGAGCTGGCCTATTGCATGATTCACCACTTGTCTTATCCTGCAAGTGAGTCGGTTAATGACGGGATAGATAAAGAGTTGAGTTGGGTGCGCTACACATTGTTCGACAGGGTGCTGGAGTTGGTCCGGGAGACAGTGGCTGGGTGTTAGCAAAGTCGGACATCGAATCAGAGTTCCGATTGTTGCCCATGCATCCGGAGTGCTATAACCTCCTGGTTTGCCACTTTAAAGGGCGGTTTTATTATGACCTATGTGGGTATCCAGGAGCTAACAAAAATATAGAAGGGATAAAATATAAGTGATAAATACTTGGTACACAGATAAGACAATCCAAAGTAATACAAAAGTCCTTAGGAAAATATCTAAAACAGAAGCAGGAAAATCCAAAGTAATATAAAAGTCCTATGTGGAATACCTATAGCATAAGTAACCCTAACCCTGCTTGTGAAAGCAACACAGGGCTGATGGTACTTATGTCAGATAATATATTTTTATAAAAAGATAATTATGTTATGTAACAGAGCATATCAGTATAAGGAACCAATTGCTCAATATTGAAATGCAATAGTGTCACAGTGTTGAAAAAAGTAAATGGAAATGTAAATAAAGCAACTAAATGTATTAAAAATATTCCAAATATAAAAATAGCGATAAAAATCAGAGTGCAGCAAATAATCCAATATATAGGGAATCAATTCAGCAAGAAAACCTTCAGTCCAGACCCTGATGGATAAGAATTATGAGAGTAGATATATCCTCTGTGTCCTGGCAGCCGGTGAGGACGGCGTGCATCTCACAGTGCGTTCCACCTCAGACCTTACATCGAGGATGATGCGAGTAGCGGGTCCGGAATCAAAAGAAGACAGAAATACTTGCGGTCAAATCCCAACTGGCAAGTGCTCTACTCAGCTTGATTGTGAAGCTTGTCTTACGCGTTTCGTAGGGATACAGCCCTACTTCATCAGAAACTTTGTGATGGCATTAGGCAGCTTATATATACAAGTTCCTAGATTGCCAGTTAATCATATACAATGTAATATAAAATATCGTTTACAATGCTGTATTAGCTTAGATGTGTTCTTAACATTGTGAATAAGATGACAATATTGTATGTTTGCTTATTACATTAATACAGGACATCGTATCACAGAAAGAAATATTAATACAAGGCATAATTGCACAAAGAATGTTGATACTGTATTCTACCGCACAAACGTATTACAGATACATATAAATGAGGATTGGACTGAAGGAGGGAGAGACAGAATATTGGGGTAGATGAAAGGATATACAGGCATACCCTGCTTTACACACTCACTTTAAGTACACTCGCAAGTACTGACATACCCGCGAGTGTACGTAAAGGTGCCTTGTGAGTACAGACATTCCCGCACCTCTTCTGTCCGCGAGTGAACAGGAAATGGAAGGTTCTATTCTCACCCAGAGCAGCTCAGTTCAGTGTCTTTGGGGCAAGAACTCTTCACACCTTCTGACATGGCACAGGTTAATCATCTCAAATTTATAATGCCTACTCCTAGCTGAACATATATATTTTTTTCTGCCCCTACATTGTCCATATTCTGCAATCGGCGCCATCCAGTGAAAGGGTTTACCCTGCCATTTTCTATAGCTATGACTTAGCAGCTTAGTTGCATTAGCAACTATTCTGAGGATTCAAAGGTAAACCATAAATGCTTAAAGTGATGGAGAGGTGTTTCTAAACAAAGTGTGCAACTAAGCTGCTAACAAATACAAATTGGCACTGTATTGACAGAAAATGGCCCAGTGGGTGGGTTTATTTTACTTTTCCTCCCAGTTTAAGGTTGTCAGATGGGTAAAACATTAAAGATAAAGGTTACAATGTGGAATGAGATTTTTCTTTACACTGTTTGTTTTAACTGAATAAAAGCCCACTGGAAATCACTAAATAAATCACTGGAAATAAAATCACTGGAACTCTGCAGTTGCAGTATCAGTAATGCCTGTAAATTACTATTGCAATGCAGGATATGCATTGGGAAGTGAAAAAGGGTATTGCTTCACTTTAAGTATATATTCGTTTTACATACATGCTCTGGTCCCATTGTGTACTTAAAAGTGGGGTATGCCTGTATCGGAAATCTATCTCAAGATAAAAGTGGATGGGTGAACAGTAGGGATAATATGCATAATTTACCGCAGTTATTAAAGTGAAAATAGAACTAGAATGAGGAGCTAAGATATGAGTGTATTTTATTATCAGTGGGGCTAAATAGGAGGAGGGAGACACTCTGGTGGGATAAATAAAAAAGGTAACATGAATCGGCAATTAAATAAGAGAGAAAGTGAGTGCAAAGATCAGGAATGCAGATATGAGGGGTAAATGAAGATATAGATAAAAACTACAACTGAAGGTAAAATTAAAAATAAATATACAAATAGAAATAAAAGTAGAAATAACAATAAAAATGAAAAAAAGAATATAAATGAGAAAGAAGTGATAGTAAAATTAAAATGAAATAAAGAGTAAAAAAATTAAATAAAAATAATGTACAGGCTATCATGCTGCCCTCACACACTCCGTATTCTACATTGATTATCTCTAAGTTCTGAATCTCCAGTTCTAGAACGTGACACGCTGTGGATGCCCCCCTGACTGTCACGTGACACCGGGTCTCCCTTACACTAGCATAGAGAGATAGAGAAGAAGAAGAAGAAAAAAAACTCGCGCCACATGCAGGAATGCACGGGGAGAAAGTCTCGCGATATTTCCCTCGGTCCGCTGTGCATTCTTCAAAGTGAGCCGAAAGAGTGGGAGAGGCTTCTGTCTCGTCACGTGACTCGAGCGCGCCAGATCCAGAGCTGCTTTGGCGCGAGCCAGCGGGGGTTGAAGGCTGTGCAGAGAGTCCGGTCCGGAGAATCCAGTGTTTGCGGTACCAGCCAGCACAATGCCAGTGGAACAGCTCGGCAGCGGTGAGGAGGGGGAGGGAAACTCTCCGGCTGCTGTGGACTCTACTTCCCATGGTGCTCAGCCACAGCTCACTACTTTGGCTGGCTGAGTGTGATGGGCAGCGCAGTCCTGTAGAGCTAGGATAGGAATGGCAGCCCTGTATAATGTAAAGAGCTGTGTCTGTCTGTCTTTTTCTTTCTTTCTTTCTTTCTTTCTGGGCAGGGAGGGATTTCCCCCATTGTCTAATCTATATTGAGTGCAGATCTCTTATCTAACCTGAGAACCACCTTCATCAAGGCAGAACACATGCTATTCTGGGGGACAGTTCGTAAAATAAACCGCAGTCACCATGGTAACAGACCTGGGTTAAAATGTTATGATTCTGTGGCAAACTTTTAAAGTTTAAAAATCTCCCTCAGGAACATTAATTCGACTTAAATAGTGACAGCTCCAATTACAGGACATTGCCCCAGAATGCCTCTTGCACAACGCCCAGTGTCTGTGTGGACATAGAACATTCTGCCTCAGAATATTCGTTACTTTGTGTGAAGTTCTAAGTCAGAATGTTCAACATGGCTGCCTGTTAAATGCACCTGTAGAGACAGAGCATGTGCTATTCATATTAAATAAGAAATACATGTCTTGTGTGGTTTTTTATGACTTGTGGAAGGGCAGTATTACTGTCCTTCCACAAGTCATTAAAAAATAAATAAAAAAAATCAAGACATGTTAATTATCTAATGCAGCAGTTACATTTTTCTGCAATGTGTCTAAGATGTGTGCCTATTGAAGGAGTTTTGTTCTGGTGACTATAGTGTCCCTTTAATTGTAGGGTGGCATTACATAAGTTTTGACCTGTGCTCTTATTGTAATCAAATGGGTGTTTGACTTTTATGCCCTTTAATGCTGCACTGATAGGATAACAATTATATACTTATTTCATGTTCTAAAATGGTCCTATCTCCTGAGTGCTTGATTCTAGATGTTTGCAGATACATTTTCAGAAATAATGATTCAGCGTGCAGTCTGACTTGTTTCATTAAACTGTATTGATGGGTTGGGCCGCCCCAAGCTATGAAGTTTCATAACTGTTTTATTGGAGTATCCTCCTCCTCTCTTCTCTCTTCTTTGTCTCTCCCTGTACTGTGCTTTCCACGTGGAAAAATAGCTACTTTATTTTTTTTTTATTTTTTTTTTCTTTCTCAATTCTTTATTTTGAAACCGCCATAGTACAATACAAAAGATAGTCACAGGCATTCTGACACGGGTTTAAAATAACCGATTACATAGCACAACAAACACAAGTATGGCAGTGTGACAAGCATTTTTACCATTGTGTTCGTTGTAACGTGTCTACTGCTTGTAACCGATCTTCTGGAAAATCCCTGTGTAGGCCTGGTTGGGTTGTTGGTTTTAAAAATTAAGCGAACTGAAGCCCTGTTGGGCATAAACAAAAAATTAAAGCATCAAGCATGCCACTCGTTTCCCTCCAGCTTCAACGTGGCTTATGTTGGGTCCAGCTCTTAATGTCCCTCGTCGGCGACCCACCGCAGGGCCGCCTAGCCTACCTAAGCCGTCTGTCGCCCAAGTCAACTCATGGTTGCCACATCTTTTAACCCCTTAAGGACACATGACATGTCATGATTCCCTTTTATTCCAGAAGTTTGGTCCTTAAGGGGTTAAAAGGGTTGCAGTGTTGTGTACCATACTGTCAGTTTGTCTATATAAGAAAAATTTCTTTAATACGGTTTTGTCATCTGTGCCATTGATGGCACTGTGGTCCCCAGCCATTTCTGAGCTTTTGCACGTCTGAAGAATGCCACTTTTAACACTATAGTTGAAGACCATAATCTGAAACATCAATTTAAATTCAATATTTTGAAACCAAAATATGTGTATTTGCTGCTACATTTTGTTCCTGCCAAACTTGGTTATTTATTATTTATATAGTTCCGTAGTACTGTACAATGGGGTACAATTCGTGATCTGTGTTCATTAAAGCTCCCCTGTCTGCTAGTATAAAAAGCCTTGTTACTCAGATTTGTTCAGGAGAAGAGCAGATGTGAAGCAAAGAGTCACCAGGGCTGTCACTATAGAAACCAATGGAATGTTCTTGCTGATTGATCCACTTTTAAATGTACTGCATCCATAACCTCCATATTATATATTTTTGGGATCATAGCAAGTCATTTGATCCTTAAAGAGTTCCGCCAATCGGTTGATTTTAAAAATAAATCTTTTATGCATATCCTATGACAAGGTAGGAACTAAGACAAAATGGAACAGATTGGATGTCAGGGAGGGCAGGATGTGGGGAAGGCATATTACCATTGGCTTTTGTCGTCAACATGTTCTGTGCTCTGATAGATGCCAGATATGCACAGAATTCTTATTGCCCAGCAAATCAGTGACGTTGTCAGGGTTCATATGGTATCCTTTAATTTGACTGTGACTTGTATGTTGGCTTCTAACATTGAGTATTATATCTCTATATCCTGATATAGATGTATATACAGTGGTACCTCGGTTTCCGAATCTAATGCGTTCTCCGGAACGTTTCTTAAACCGATATGTTTAAAAAAAAATGTGTGTCTCTAAACCGAAACGCGGTTTCCCATAGGAATGCATTGAAAACCAATGAATCCGTTCTGGAGGTCAGAAAAAAGTCAAAATGAGCTGGCATGGAAACCAATGCAGAACACACAATAAAAGGCATGCAAACGACGAAGCTCAGCTCCCTACCTTTCCACAGCTTGAGAAATGCACCAAAAAGTCCCAAAACAACTGCAAACAATTTCCAGAATGGCTCAAAAATTCAATGCAAAATCCGCTCCAACACCTCCACTCTCTACGCCACGTGCTACCCAGTGGTGGTGCTATAAACCTCCCAGGTGCAATGCATCCTGGGGAAACTTGCTTTGTATTGTGAAAAATCTTTGTAAACCGAGGCATTATTTTCAATGGGGGGGGGAGGGGGGATAGTTGTAGGAGAGGAATCATGGTGCAAGGATGGAAAGTTAACTGTTTAATTGATCCGCTTTCCTGGGGAAATTTTTTTTTAAATTTTTTTTTTTTTTTTTGAAGTGGTAGAGACTGAGTGAAAGGGAAGGGAGTTCCATAGGAATGATGCAGCCCTAGAGAAGTGTTGAAGGTGGCCATCAGAGGTGGGAGTACGAACAGAGGATAGAACTAGGTCTTCGGCAGAGCGCAGGGGCCTAGACTGGAAATACTCGTGTATTAGGGAGGATAGGTATGTTGGAGCAGCTTTATATAGAGATTTGTAAGCAAGTATCAGAATCTTAAATTGAGCCCTATATCTTACTGGAAGCCAATGTAGGGACTGACAAGGGGGAGGTGCGAGTGGACATGATGATGAGCCTTGACTCTGCATTCGTTATAAACTGTAATGGGGAAAGTTGGGAACACGTAAGACAACTGAGAAGTGATTGCAGTAGTCAAGGTGAGAGGATAGCAGCATGGACCAGCACCGTAGACGCATCCAGTGTTAAATAGGGGCGGATACTTGCTGTTTTTTTTTTTTTTTTTTTGATGGCAGTAACAGGATTTGGCGATGGAATGGACATGAGGGGTGAAGGAGAGGTCAGGGTCAAAGAGATCACCTAGGCAGCGAGCCTGTGAGGTAAAGCTGATGGTAGCACTGTTGACTTTGAGGGAGGCGGACACTGGAGTAGCAGCACTTAAGGAAGTTCTGTTTTGGACAGGTTAAGTTTGCTGAAGTGAGCAGCTCTCCATTTGGAGATAGTAGAGAGGCAGTCACAGACACGAGTCAAGAGTGGCGGAGAGAGATCGGGACAGCACAGACAGATTTGCGTGTCATCCACATAGAAATTATATTGAAACCCAAAGGAGTTGATGAGTTTACCAATGGAGGCAGTATAGATCGAGAACAGCAGAGGACCAAGGACAGAACCATGGGAAACACCAACAGAGGGATGTTGGGGAGAAGAGGCAGAGAAAGGAACACTGAGCTCTGGGAGAGGTAGGAGGAGCACCAGGAAAGAGCAGTATCTCGACTGAGAAAATGGAGGATAAGATAAGTGCAAAATGGAATATATAGGTTTGGGGACTATGGGAACAGTGTCACATATGTCAGTCCTTTTCAACCCTTATGAAGTTCTGTAATCCAGCCCTTTGAGAGTTACCTCTCTGAAACTGCTCCTTTTTATCTAAAAGCATGGGGGAGGGGACATAGGGTGTGTGCAGCAATTGAAGCACTCTGCAAATCTAGTGCTTCTTTCTTTGCATTAGCCACATTTGATGTCCTCATGCGGACCTTTAAACATCTTAGTGTTACTCCACACAAGTAAAAAAATAAATAAAAAAAATAAATAAAAAAAAAAAGCAAAACCTCACCTGTTCACTGGAGAGGGAGTGATGTCTTAGAGGACCTGTGTTGCGGGGTGGGGTGACATTTACAGGCTGACTAATGATACTGCCGAAGGTGAAGTTACAAGTTACGTTATCTCTGTATGTTCGGTGTTTCAATATGAAATGCTGCACATACAGACTCCAAGTGTGTCCTTGGCCAAATTTAAACAAACATTTTACATTGTGCTGGTAAAAGGATATCACCAAAACCACTACAATAATATGATTGTCTGCATATTGGCCTTTATTGGTAGCTTTTGCTTTGTTCCATGTTTTGCATTTTGTCTTTTCTTGGAACTGGAGTTGAGTTGATTTCACAAGTGCATAACTGAACAAACATTCAAAAACCCATGCTCTGCCCAAAAAGCTTTGCTGTGAAGATAATCCATATGAGAAAATCAGCTCTTTGAAAAGTCAGTCCAGCCATGCTTGAAAAAGTTTGATAACCTGTTTTTGTTTTTAGGGTCTCCTTCATCAGAGATGGAAGCTCCCTTTGATGAAATGGTCATAACTCCATCCATGTTAAAAGAAGAAGATAAGCTTGAAAAAGCTGGTGAGGTGGAAGAAAAGAAAATGTTGGAAAAGGTAAATTGCTACCTTGGTTTGACCAGGATCACAACCAAACACTTGGATGTTTGTATGGAATTGTAGAATCGTAGATGCATTCGTAAATGTGGCTTAATACATTGGCAGCATGTTCTAAAATAGGGCAGTTTTATGTTTTTTGCTCACTTGTGACAAATTGATGTTTCTTGAAATGTTTAATGTGATAGAAATAAACTTAAAAACAAAGACTAATGTAAATATAAGATTCGTGACCCCCCCCTCCCCCCCTTTGGGAACATAAAACTCTTGAAAATTTGCCTTTTATCCAGCTTCGTTGTGGCAGCTGCTGCGAGATCGTAATTTTGATGATTTCTGGCCCAACCAAATATGACGAAAGGATGTAATTATCGCAGTGCTTTTCTGACAATAATTATCAGAATTGTTTCAATCATGCAGAATGTGTCAACCAGTAGAGACATGTCTTAAAAATTAAATGTTTCTCCGAAATAGCTATGTTTACATTTGTTAAACTGTACTGGTTTTGGTATTGGTTGTCTATTAAAGAGGAGTAGAATAGGTAAACGTGTGTGCATTGATTACTATTACTATCCTAGCCCTATGTACATTTTTACCAATTGGTATGCTTTCTGGTGTACTTCTTTGTGCTGTGTAGCTCTCCTCTTGAAGGGACTGCTGCTTTTCTATAGGTGTGTTGTAGTGTTTGGTTTTTTTTTTTTTTTGTTTTTTTTTTTGGGTGGTTAAGCATACAGCACTGCCTGTTTCCTGTTTTTAGCCACAATCTGCACAGCATTCTCATATGATAAATGAACACCCAATGAAGGAAATGCCAGGTACATAGAAGAAAAGATTAGTCTTGCTCGACCACATTTGCTCTCATTTCCTTAATGTACTCTAACTAGGTTCTGTGTTATACTGTTAACCTTTTATTCCACGTATGTTGTGAAATCTATAAAATTGTAGCCGTAAACAACAAATGGGGGTGGGGACACACACGCGCGCCACAAACTCTTGACGTGTATTGCGTCTGTAAACACTGTTTCTCAACATAAATGACACTCCTGAAACACCGTGCTTTATACGGCTTGGGAACAGGAACATGGGCCCCATTCCCAGCTCCATTCAATAAACTAAGCTGTACTCCTTAGGTGCCTCAATTCCAAACTACTATCGTGGTTCCACATGCACTTGGCATCAGGGATTGTCCAATATTGCTTTGTTTTTGTTAAAGTTCAATATTGATAATCTGTGGCCCTTCAGGCCGATAGCGGATAACTTGTACCGCTCTTCTGTATATTTACAGTTTTGAAAAAAGAAACACAATTTCTGCAAAAATCTGCCGTTAACTAAACATGTCTAATTTTTTTACATTTTTTTTTATAAATCTTTAAGAGGTAAATGCACAAAATAAAATATACATTCCTGTCAGATATTTAATGCTTTCAAGAATGTGTTTGTGTAGTGGATGCATGTAACATCTTTCAAGGATAAAAGGATCTTTTATATGTATATTTATTTGATTTATATATTTATTTTATTAGGCTCGGATGTCATGGGAAAGGGATTCTAATGAGCTGCGTTATAGGAGACTCCAGCATTTACTTGAAAAGAGCAACATTTATTCCAAGTTCCTCTTAACTAAGATGGAACAGCAGCAACTTGAGGTATTTGAACAGGGGGGGAAAAAAAATGTATCCAGATAACTTTTACATTTTTACCGCACCACCAGGATGTCCATTCCCCAACTGGCCTAAGGATAGACTAGTATAGGCATGTGTCCATTGATCAAAAACTCCCAAAGTTGTCTGCCACAGACTTGCCAAGTACAGGAGACCTGTATTCATTTCAATGTCTGCAGAGTACAGTCAATACAGTAGCCAGTTGTGAAAATATATATTTTTTTTAAAGTACAGTTTACAGAACTATTTGGGTTGATTTTATGTATATTTGAAGGCTTATTTTATTTTCAATTAGGAAACAAAAAGGAAAGAAAAACTTGAAAAAAAGAAACAGAAGCAGGGTGAATCTGCAACGGTAACATTCTTTTAAGTTTTTGTATGTTGTCTGCTATGTCTATATATTATGAGCTTTGTGGCTTTTTTTGGGGTTGCACAGCGCATGGATCTAGAATCCTAATTTAACCTCAAACTGCAGCAATCTGTCTAATATAAACATCACAAGAAAATCCAGATTCGCTATGCTATAGTCTACTCAAGAGACATTGTTAAAGCCCCCGTCCCCTTTGTTTACCTATATGAACAAAAGTTATATTTGGTCATGTTGATCTATGAAAACAAAGTGCAAGCTAAATTCAGTTCTAATTCTAATACTAACTTCCTTTATTTGTGTTTGATTTCTTTTTTTCTTTTTTTTTTTTCTTTTTTTTTTTTTTTTAAAGGCAAAGCAAGCAACTCAGAATGAAGATCAATCTGGTGCGTTTTGTGTGAACCTATTTTATAAGCTTGTAAATGAGTTTTAACTTTCCATTTAGTATTTCTCTATGCAGAAGCGGTAGAACAAATCTTAATTGTGTGTGGGGTTTTTGTAATATTTAGATCCTAAGAAGAAAAGGCAAAGAGACGAAACTTATAGTATTTCAGACGTGATGTCTAAAGAGGTAAAGTACTTTTATAAGAACATTGAAAAGTATTTATTCCTACTATTGATGTTCCTTATTGCTCGTTTATTTACAGTGTAAAACATCTACACTTCTCTCTTAGGAAATCTTATCAGTGTCAAAGAAAAGCAAGGTTGATATGCAGGTATGTACCAGAATTTGGGTTGTTTTGTGAAAGCAAATTGCTGGGTATCTTTATAAAGTAAAGCTGTAGTATGACATATCTGTGTGTGTGTGTATGGTTTGTGTATTTCTCACAGTCATCATTATAACCTCAGTGTAGACTCATCTGAAATATTTGCAATAATTTCTTTTCATGGTTTGCCTCTGATGTATTATGGGGAATGTGACCTTTACAGTGAGCACTCTAAACAAATGAAACATTTGACATGCAAGATCTTTAGTTACCATACACTGACACACTGTAAAAGAATTGCATGTAACCTGCTTAGAAGGATATAGTATCATCGTGTATGTGTGGTTTTTACCCTTTCTGCACTGGACAAATTAAACATAGGCGCGGTTACCTTGCAGTGGTGGGTTGCACAGGCTCATGAGAACCAATATTGGCTCATTAACTGCAAAAAAAACAACACAGGAACAATTCTGTATTCCAAATGCACCCACAATCCCTCAACTCTATGCGTTTAAAAAAAAAAAAAAAAAAAATGAAAAGAAAAAGGGGGGGTTCGAAAGACCCCATAAAACAGGGTTATGAGATGTTGTGGGTTATCCCTACTATATGCAGTCGTACTAGCCAGCTTTCAACCTTTAACATGTCACTAAAACAGAGAAATGCCTGTCCTGTTTCAATAATTTCCTCCATAGTTACTACCTTAATGTAAATTTATTATAATCTGCCATTTTGAATAATGTAGGGTCTTCCTTGAACTATATCTATAATAGATCTCATTGGCCTCTGTTGTGACTTCTTTAAAGTTCTTTATCTACTGGCTATACCTGTTCAGACTAGTAGCATCAAGTTGAAATTACACTGCTCAAAATGTGAAAAATCTCATGCATTCACTATAGTGATAACTCAAAGTGAATTTTAAAGTCAAAATGGCAAACTGTAAATATTGAGTGTGCTATCAAATTTGAATTCTCACTTTTGTAAATAACAGTGTATGTAGAAGTGGTTGCTTTTTAAAGAGTTAACCTCTGACCTCTACTTTGGGGCCTGTTCCAACACTCTTCCGTAGATGAGCAAGTAATAAACAATTTCTGACTTACAGGATGAAAACTCTTCTAGCAAACTCAACACCGAAGACCTAGAGAAGAATGGAGACTCTAACAGTGTCATTAAAGACCGCTTATCCCAAGCAGTGAGGCACAATGCCAAACATCTACTTGACCCAACACGAACAGTAGATGGGAAGCCTGTGCCTTATCAACAGCCAAAGTACTTTATTGGTGGGATAATGCGATGGTACCAGGTGGAAGGCATGGAGTGGCTCAGGGTAGGTTTTCTGTTCTACTCAGATTCTGTAATTGGTATACAAACACAGAGTACTCGCATAACATTTACAGTGGTAGTTATTCCGAACAGAGGGGTAGAGTGAATATCTTATTGTCACAGTTGGTGCCATTTGCTATAATCTGACAATTGAGTTGGCTGCAGCAGGAGTGATCAAATGGTTTTACTAACCTTAGAGCTGGCTGGCAAAGCACCTTAAATATTTTTAAAAATTTAATATATTTTCAATGGTCTGCATGTTTACATCATGCATAGCATAACTTCCCCAGACACGCCCATTGCGCTTTTTACGGTTTGTGTTTTTAAAGGGATAGGACTTAGTAACGCACAGTCTAACATTAAAAATGTGTAAATGTTAGTATTTAATTTTTTTTTTAAATATATATATATATTATTTTTTTTAAGCATGTACCTCTTTAATCCTATCCTAGACAGTCAATAGAGTTGTCTAGATCGGTCTCCTTGGTTTTAAACTTTTTGTAAATTTTATTAGTGTTATCGTTTAAATTTTAATTTTTTTTAATTTATTTTTTCTTTCCTCTGTTTTAATGCAGATGCTCTGGGAAAATGGGATCAATGGCATATTGGCTGACGAAATGGGTCTAGGAAAGACTGTACAGTGTATTGCCACAATATCCATGATGGTTGAGAGAGGAGTACCTGGGCCTTTTCTTGTTTGTGGCCCATTGTCCACTCTTCCTAACTGGATGTCTGAGTTTAAACGATTTTCCCCCGAGGTTTGTCATCCTTTTTATATAACTTTACAGCAGAACATGCAGAAAGTAACACGTTCTCCTCCGCCCCCTCCTCCCCTTCTTTCCATTAAGACTTCCTTCCTTCTGCAATCAATTTGTGTCTTGTACAGAAGTCTGTATGTATTTCCGTATAAGGACTTGGAAGCTAATTAAATATTTATAGCAAGCACACAGGTGATCGTAAAACAGCAAAAAATATAAAGTGTGTGTGTGTGTATATATATATATATATATATATGTATGTATATGTATGTATATATATATATATATAGTGTATATGTATTTTTTTTTATCTTGTAGCCTAGTTTAACATTAAAGATTCTTTTTGCACCCTGTGCTAGTCATTGACATAGAAATGTCTTTCCTAGCTGTGAATTTGTTAATGTTGCAGTCACTCTCTGTATGCTGTAGTTAGTACCTGTTAAGAATGTATGTCCTAAAAATATTATCTTAATTAAAAAAATAATAATAAATTCAATTCCCTATCCTTCAGATTCCTGTTATTCTCTACCATGGAAACCCGCAAGAACGTCGTGCATTGGCACGAAAAATTAA